TATAAATGGGCTCCCTCTAAAATGCCCAAAATTTCTTCACAGAGCTGTTCCCTAAGCTCTCTCACTATCCTCAGAAAAATAACCAATTCTTGGTGAGCCAGGAGATTTTCTGGCACTATGCAGCTCACGCAGGAGTGAAAATCTATGCTAAAGTAACAGAAGGGAGAACTGTTAAAGGTAGAGTGTTTGAAAAATGCATGTGGCTATTCAAAATAAAATTGGACAAAGTAACACACAATCAAAGCTCATGGGAGAAAGGCAAAAGCTGCATTGATATGAAATTGTAAACTGACAGAAGTGGAATTCCCAAGGGTGGGTTTTTAAAACACCGTTGCAGTTGTTACATATTAAAGATCCAGCCTTGGGGACATAGGGCTTGATTTCATACAACACAAAATTCAGAAATTTAGTAAACAATGAGGAGCTTAGTCAGACCCGACACGAGCACGTAGACTGATGAAATGGGCAGGCACATGGCAGATGTGAAGAGCAGTGTGAAGTGATACATTTTGTGAGGAAGAATGAGAGGAAGCAATTTTAAAGAGGATGCTCCAAAAAAGGGAACTGCGCCTGGGACTGTATGTACATAATTCTTTGGAAATATGGGATCAATTGAGAAAACTATAAGAAAACAATAATAAAGACACAGAATACAAAGGAAACGATAGGATGCCAAACTGTTTTATATGTTGATGTATTATATATATGTTGCCCCTAGCTGGAGTATTTTGTTCAATTTTACACAACATGTTTCAAGGATTAAGTAAAGACATTGCTGTGGGCACCAAAGAGATTTGCTAGGATGGCAACATGGATGAGGGACTATCATTATATGGAGAAACTAGGAAGCTCCTCCTTCGAGAAGACATGCTCCTGACTTTGAGGGAGAGGTTATGGAACAAATGGTTTCCAGTGAGAGAAGGTTTGGTACCAAAGCAGACACAGATCTGAGATAGCAAACAGTAAAATCAAGCCTGGTTGTGATTTGATAGATACTCTTATCTGCATCTGGAACAAATAGAAAATAGGTTTGTTTCGAATTCAAACTTCATCGTAAATCTCCTCAAACACAATCCAATTGCGGAGATTAGCAGATAGACACATCAGCAGATTGGGAATGTGATTAGCATTTCCCCGATTTGACCCCTGACTAATCTTATGGAGCAGTGATCCCGAATGTGCTTTAGGTTGTTTGTGGATCACAGCTCCATTTTATTAATTGTGTTCTAAGTGGTCCTGACATATGGGACAAAATGTTTACTTTGAATCAGAGCGGGGGCAGGTATTGGAGGATTTGAAATCTTGGCCTCAAGGAGCAGAGTGCAATCGATTATTTTGAAAGTGAAAGATTTGTACATAGATGGGTGAGGGACAGGTGAGGGTTGGGTAGGGGCTGGGATTGTGATAACAACACACCCACTAGCTGGGGATGAGCAATGATAGGTCCTTTGAGTCCAATGGAGAGACTCCAGCTGGGTTGGTCTAGTCAGCAGTCTGGTATCCTGCAGCAGGCACTAAAATGGCAAGGGGTGGAGGGGGCTTCAAAGCATCAGATCAGGTTGGGAAGTGGGAAAGGGTGAAGAAATCCACTCAGTGGGAACTAAAATCCTCACACCTGCACCCATAGCCTTAACGGTACATGTGCAGCAATTGGCCTTTTTGACAAAGGAATGCCCCTCCAGGAGAACAGTCTTGACTGTTTTGGCACTGTGAAGCCAAAAGCAAAGTCTCCTACAGCAAACAGAAAAAGACCAGGAGGTGCAGATAGACTCCTGACAGGATCCCAGGTTTAAGGATGGCTGGGTCACCAATGCTGCTTCCCATCAGGATGCCCTCCCAATTGTGCCAACATCAGGACACGACTGCAGCTACTGGTGATTCAGGAATGGTATAGTTCCTTCACCATGATGCCTGACCGTTTCAAACTGAAAATTTCAACATTAGCTTTGGTCGGGGGATGCATCTATTGTTACATTCCCCATCACACCGTCCATGCCCAGCAAGCTTTAGAATGTTATACCTTTGACATTGCTTTATTGCTGAAGGGCCTCCTATTGACTCTACAGCTCACCCACCAGTCTTCACTGCACACTCATTGCTCACTAACTGACCCATTCCTACAGAAAAAATGGAGACTTTTCCAACGTCAGGGACCCAAACCCCTACATCCCCCACTAAACAAAATCCATCCCAATGCATGAGACCTAATGATGTTGTGCCTCCTTGTTGGCAGATTAAAGAACATTACAGAGACAGTACAAAGCCTGGGGAAAACAGAACAGCTAGAAATCATAGTCTACACAGGAGCCATTGATACTGGAATTAAAAACATCTTGAGGTATTGTCGCCAAGGAAGGAACTCAGCGAGTCAGATCTCTAAAGACAGGAACCATTGCATTAGTCCCAGTGCCACACACCAGAGCCAAGGTTTCAGATTCTCGGTCGTAGTGCAGAAAGCCAGAAGAGGTTTTGTTCAAGAATGTCCGGAAGAAATGTTGTTTTGTCAGGGTGGTGGCAAACGGAAATATAATACTGCACGTTAGAAGGTATTCAAGAAAGATTCGGAGGAATTACAAGGTGGAAGGCCTGGCATAATTGATCGGTGCTTTTGGGAATCTGATCAGAATAAGGGTTGACCTGATGACCTGCTTCCTAAGATCTTAAAGAAAATGGCTGCAAAAATAGTGGATGCATTGATGGTGATATTCAAAAATTTCCTTGATTCAGGCAAGGTCCCAATGGATTGGAAAACCACAAAACTAACATGAGTATTCATGGAAGAATAGAGATAGAAAGCAGCAAGCTATAGACCAGTTTTCCCAACGATCAACATTTCCATTGGGAAATGAATCCATTATTATAGAAGTAATAGCAAGATATTTAACAAGTCATTATGCAATTAAGCAGAGCCAACATGCCAATATCAAAGGGAAATTATGGTTTGACAAATTCTTCAGTGTTGTTTGAGGATCTAACAGGCGAGATGGATGAAGGGGAACCAGCTGGTGAAGCATTTTTTTTAATGCGCCAACTAGGGATTCGGAAACAAAGCCTGAAAAGGATGTGGCTGCAGATTTGATATTAACTTTCATACAGATTTGGATATAACTTTTCCACGGTTTTAATAAATATCTAAATTGAAAACAGTTTCAACGCCAATGTGGCAAAGGCTGGGAGTGAGACAAGTAAGCTATTATGGTATTGGAGTCACAAAAGCGCTGGAAGAGTACTTATTGTACGGGCATATGAGAAAATGCGAATATATTTGTAGTTAACATAGACAGGAACACGAAAATCCTTTTAAAAATACAAGGTAAATAAATCAGTAATTCATGTCAAAGAGAACCTTGAAATCCATCAACAAAAATATTTATCATTAAAAAGAGTCAATTCAGGAATAGAAAACAGATCTTGTCAAGAATCATAGCTGAGGACTTTAGTAGACAAGGCGATGCTGCCAACGTAGGACTGAAATGAAGGTGGTAGCGACACGAGAGGGTGAAAAGAGATAAGGAAGGTGTAATTAAATGGTTGGCATTCCTTATCAAAAGTAGCGGTGCCCCCTAGTCTGAATTTACAGAGACATGTAAGATTATCGACTACTTTGGAAATGAATCTTTGAACTGAAGGGAAAGCACCTTTCACTCTCTCTGATCCATCAACAAGGAACACAACATCTCTCCTGTCTGCTTCTGTAACTGATGGAAAATAGATATGTTCATTATCCAAGTTTGATTTGAAAAATAAAACTGTCAGCATAAAACTTCAATATAATTTGATGGTAGACAGAAATGAATTTTGTTTATTTAAGCAGAAGCACATGGAATTTGAATTACTGGTAAGATTTATCTTCTAAGCAGTGATGAACAAATCAATTTCAGCCATTACTGGAGTTCTGTTCAATTCTGTGCTCCTGAAAGTTTTATTAATTACTTTAAAAAAGGTGTAGGGTTTTTTTAAATGTTTATTAGAGCAGGGTCAGAGATTGCAGGATTGTAAAATTCCCTTCTCAGATTGACGTGACAATTTGCAGCATTTCCTACCTCTGGACCATGTCAGAAATGTATGATTGGGAGTGAATGTTGCACTGTGAGAGATGGATGGCACCTCCAACTCTGTATCCATCGATTGGGAAATCAGTCACTTAAAAGACTACTTAAGACAACTGAGGAGTCTCCAAGCAGTTGACAATAGACAGTCAGGAAGGACAAGGCCACAGATGTACATCAGGTTTGGGGTGGGTGCAGCAGCAATTCATCCAATCAGGAACATCCCCATCCTACCACAGCTACAGCCATTGCCATGCTGGACTTGTCCCTCTGCTGTAATGTCCTGGCAGCTGCGGCCATTTTAAAGCTAGAATCAGAGAATCACTATAGTGTGGAAGCATGCCATTCAGCCCATCGAGTCCACACTGACCCTGTGAAGAGCAGCCCACTCAGAACCACCCACCCTACCTTATCCGTGTAACCCTGCACTTCCCATGGCTAATCCAGCTAGCCTACACATCACTGGAAACTGTGGGGTAATTTCCCATGGCCAGTCCACCTAACCTGCACATCTTTGTAGTGTGGGAGGAAACCAGAGCACCCAGGGGAAACCCATGCAGATACAGGGAGAATATGCTTTTGCTGAAGCATCATTGCTGAATGGCTTCTGATTGACCCTCAAGCCTTGGGGGATGGAAGCTGGGTATGGGGGCAGGGATGGAGATGAGTTGGAGGAGCCTGACCACAATCCACCATTGGTCACTCACTGGGCACACCTACAAGGAGTCCAGAACTTTTCCCAATGTCAGTGCCATGACATCAAAACAAAAATGCATTGCAATGAGGGCATTCCTAACCCCCATGGCATTACATTGTTGGCTTGGTTGCAGGTTAAAGTTCATAAAACAGAAAGTACATGGAGTGGGATACAGTACAGTTAGAAATGAGGTCCATATTGGTAATGCTAGCACAAAAAGATTTGAAGAGCTGTTTTCAGAATCTTGGCAGCATGAAAGTAGATAACAGGATCATAAAATGTAAGAAATAGCTATTTTACTCTCAGTGCCACATACAGGAGGGCAGTTCCAATCCTTAGAGTGTTGGGCTCAAAAATGGGAGGGGGAAGTGCGTGCTTTGGGGCTTTCATGACTTAGAATTCCAAGGCAGAATAACAAGCAAGGAGGGCTGGTTGCAATAATCAAATAAGGTATTAAGGCTCTGGAAAGGAGGATGTTGTCGAAGTCACATGAGTGAATACAATTAAAAAGAAGGGTGAGGAAGACCTTTTGTTTCAGGTCTGGGAGAACGTCCTTGATCGCAATGTTTCACCCCAATGTGGGAGGAAAAATGATACAGAACCATCAAGGGTAGAACTATTCATTTATAGTGGAGGATCACATCATTAAGATTTGAGAGAATTGGATTCGCAATTTGATAGATACACCATCAACCAAGTAAGAAACAAATAAAGACATGTATCATTGTTCTCTTGTCACATTCACAGAATGACTAAAATACTTTATAACCAATAGATATTGAAATTGTGGTTGCTGTTGCAATGTTCAGAATGGGTCTCTCTGTTAGAAAAGATGGATATAGTTTGCGTACAGAGTAGAAAACTTACCTTGAGAGAAATGGGGTGGACAGATAAAATTAGGGCTCCTTTGTTGACTAAACAGATAAAGATTAAAATGTGATAATAAAATGAAAGTTCTGGACAAATGCAAGGTTGATAATACAGTAGAAAACACGAATACTGAAGACACAAAAGGACTCGAAGAATAATCATTATATGGGCATTTGAGAGTATGAGAATATATTTGTGATTAACATAGGTAGGAACATGAAATCACTTTTAAAAATACAAGGTAAATAGATTAGTAATTAATGTCAAAGAGAAGCTTGAAATCCATCAACAAAAATATTTATCATTAAAAAGAGTCGATTCAGGAACAGCAAACAGATCTTGTCAAGAATCACAGCTGAGGGCTTCAGCAGACAAGAGTATGCTGCTAACGTAGCACTTAAATGGAGGTGGTGGCAACACAAGATAGGATGAAAAGAGATAAGGAAGGTGTAATTGAATCGTTGGCATTCTTTATCGAAAGTAGCGGTGCCCCCGAGTCTGAATTTACAGAGACATGTAAGGTTAGAAATTGCAAGTTTTAGACACAGTCTTCAAAACCACTTGCCAGAGAACAGGAGGATTGAAACTGTGGCAGCACTGTTGAGAAAAAGGTAACAGATGGTCATGGCAATAAAACATCAATCAGATGAACACAAGAGAAATATATAAATACTGTTGAGATTGCACTGAGATTATATCAGTGTTTTTGTGCATAAGACACTGTGGCATTTCCATTCTCATGTAGCATACCCTCAGTGCTGTTATCTCACAGAGCAATTTCATTGTAAATCATATTATCACAAAAATAATTCAAGATCTTGTCTTCCCGATTTATACAAAAACAAAATATGTCTCACCAACAGGTACAGCTCTCCGAATTTCAATAATCTGATCTTTGCTCAGTGTTGTTAACGGTGACTCCAGACTTTGTTGCACTGTTTCCACATCCCGCAGGTCATTAACCTTGAAAATATAATTACGGGACAGAGAAATTTGTTGGAGTTCACGGTCATCTGCATCTCCTGAGCCGATACTGAAAGGGGCTACACCGGCCTCTTTCAGAGCCAACGCTGCCTGACCAACATCATCAGACGACTTGCTGGCAGTGAGAAGGATCAGGAACTGGGGGACACCTTCCTCTGCTCTGCCACCCGCAGACCGAGTGAAGATGTTATTTTTGACATAGTCCAAGGCTGCCCCAGTGTTGGCTCGACGGCCTCCTATTTGCCTGAGGCCGTTAATCGCATCCTTCACTTCTCGAGGTGTGGTGTAGCTGTTCAAGTAGAAGTTGATTCTGGGATTATCGCTGTACTGCACCACACCAACTCGGACTTTGTCACTTCCAATGTCAAGATTATTGACCACTTTGGAAATGAATCTTTGAACAGAAGGGAAAGCACCTCTGACTCTCTCTGATCCATCAACAAGGAACACAACATCTCTCCTGTCTGCTTCTGTAACTGATGGAAAATAGATATGTTCATTATCCAAGTTTGATTTGAAAAATAAAACTGTCAGCATAAAACTTCAACATAATTTGATGGTAGACAGAAATGAATTTTGTTTATTTAAGCAGAAGTAGGGTGGAAAGGTTCTGATCACATTCTGCTCACTCTCCTTAATTC